GAGGAGGGTCTGCCCGGAGCCTCTGGAGGGGTCACGGCCCTGCCTGCACCCTCAGACTTCAGCCTCCAGAGCTATGAGACAACAGACTTCTGCTGCTTTAAGCCACCACACGTCACAATGTGTTACAGCAATCACCCCAAACAAACACAGCCTGCAAAAGTACAACTTCTGTGCACGTGGAAACCACATCAGAATATACAGTACGGTTCCTGCATCGCGAGTCACTGAGGCAGAAGCTGCCCAGTGTCCCATGGGGTTCATTTTACTTGGATTTGTTGTAGCTTCTGGATGCCAGAGGCTCGCAGGAATTGTGGTCTCACAGGGCGGCCTGCAGAGCGGGAAACGCAGGACCCCCCGTGCAGGTGCGTGTACGTTCGTCCACAGCACTGAGGTTCCTTCACGCGATTTCTCGGGAGGACGCTTTTCTCGTCGGAGTGGGCTGCACAGGCTGCATCCTAGGATCCCACAGGTCTGTTAGTACCTTTCACTGCTGGAGATTCCCTGAATCAGCTCCAGGAGGCATTGAGTGCCGTGAACTGGGAAAAGGAGGTGGTGCCATGTGTCCTGAGTTGACCGGGTCACTAGGCATGTGCTGCGTGCTGTCTTCAGGAACAGGGTGGGACAGGCCTAGGCGGGGGCACCTGCAGCTACAGATACCCTCTGTCTCTGGGACTTGAGTTCCGTCTTAAATCAGCCGATGCCCACTTCAGGAGGAATGAGCCAGGAGTTCACGCATTTTCATATTTCCAGCCATAGGAGTTAAAATTAAACTCAGCCACGCTTTCGTTTCTAGGCCTGAGCACTCACGTCTTCACCTTGTCCGGCTCCATCTGCAACTACCAGTAGCCGTGCAATCCAGCTCTGAGTTAAGAGTTTAGCCCTAACACCCTTTAACCCACTTCTCCGTGGCGGGGAAGGTGCTCAACAGGAACACCGTGAGCCAGCTGCTGGACCAGCTCCCAGAAGACTCGCTGCTTGTCTTCGTGAAGCACCTGGGAAATTGGTGGAAAATTATAAAATCAGTGCACCGTGAGTGAGATCATTCATGTATGAGCAGAAGGTTCCTGAGCAACCAGGTGGCTCCCCAGGCAAAAATAAACAAAACCAAGAAAGACAGACCCTGGAGTGACCCGATACCCTGATGCCTGCGCATCCTCAGAAGACATCCAGGACGGGGCGTTACCCACGTGCATGTGATTTGGGCCGTGGGGAACTGGAAAGAGAGTGAAAGGACACAGGAGGCCACGGCCCTTCCTGGAGCCTGGACACCCGCCATGCTAGAGAAGTCAACGCCTGGTTCCCTCTGGCCACACAGGGCACTCCTGACCACACTTCCTCTAACCGTGAGGGATTTGTCCACAGGAAGATTCATTAATGGCAAAACCTAACAGTTTAGGCAGACGTGAGCATTATGTGTCTCTTTGCTCATTAGACTTGAGGGATCTGGGCCGTTGGTTCCCACTCCTTGGGCTCATGTGATCAGCTGCAGTTAGTTACGGCGATGTCGGAAACAGTACTGACAGTGCGAATGTTCAGGAAACATCCCAACGCTATCTCTACATGGAAGGTTTATTAAAAAAAAAAAAGAAGACAAGGCAGAAGAAAAAGGAAAGGACTGCTATTCTTCCAGGTTGCCTTGGGAAGTTTTTCCTCTTGCAAGAGAACAGAGGGTTGAGAGCCTTCCTAGAAGCTCCGTCCCCTGCGGAGGGCAAACAAAGGGAACAGAACGTGTTGCTGTGAAAGGAATTCTGACCTCTGCTTGTTGGTTGCTTCCTCCGTTCCCTGGACACAATTAAGTGATTGTAACTAAGTTGGAAACACTCGCTGTGATCTAACTAGAAACACTTTTGATCTGTGTGACTTGGAGAGCACTAACGCACTGCAGCTGCCCTTCAAATCTCCTTCAGATGAAAACAGCAGTACTCAGAGCCTGGGTGCTCCCAGCACGCTCTCATCTGTCTGCTGTAATCTTCACATCACCTCCTGGGGCAGAGAAGTCACCTGTCATGAGCGGGTAAGTGGAAGATGACCTCGGGCCACAGAACTCAAGCCACCTGGAACTCCAGCCACCTGGCTCCCAGTCAAGGGGAGAGGCCCCAGGGGTACATTCTCCCCCTCCTGGGTCAGGGACAGGCTTGGATACTGAAGATTGCTCCTAGGTTTACACCACCTTCTACCTTAAATAGTAATTTATGGGGTTGCTGTAGTTAGAATTGACTGATTTGCAGTGTGATTCGGGTTGTCACAGGTGAGCTGAGATGCTGTTTATAGCATATGCTGTCTTCCCTGTGCACACATGGACAAACAGGTCCACACCCTGGCCAGGAGAAGCCCCCCGCAAGGTGGGACCCCGCGGCCCACCCGTCATCGCCTCCCCTGCAGCCCAGCCACGCCCCTTCCTCCTGTCTCCCGCGTGTGGAGCAGCACGTGCTGGGTTCACCCCTGAGTCCTCACAGCCGCCTTCCTGGTGATGTCTGGGCCTCATCGCAGCTGGCAGCCAGGACCGTTGGGAGGAAGCCCCACCAGACTGCAGCCAGCCAAGGGCCACCAGCAACTTGGCCACGCTGTCCTCCGCAAAGAGAAGTGAGAGGGGCCTAGGCCAGAGCCAGGACATCCTGACAAGAGACCAGGAGGTTCTGGGTAGACCTCAGGCCCCCAAGGCTTTCCTCTGAGTTCAGAGTTTGCAGCTCAGGGCCTCTGTGGTCAGTCCTGTCATGGAGACCAGAGGGATGGGAGGAGGAGGAGAGGTGGCCACCTCACCCGGTACGCACAGATCAGGGCAGCAACTGCCTCCCCCTGTGCCTGGTCATCCGTGCCCCGGCGGCCCCCACCCTGCAGGACGGCCACAGCAGCCAGCAGGCCAGATTGTCCCTCTTGCTCTCTGGGTGGCAGCTGCCGCCAAGAATCACTTGAAGGAAAAAGGAAGCGCTGACATGAATGGGATTCGCTTGGGCGTCCCACATTGCCCGTCATGGCCAGCAGAAGGTCACCAGGGCAGCAGACGGGCCATGTGCTTGGTCTGTCCACAGAGCCAGGCTGGTAGGTGAAGCTGGGGGCAACAGAGAATCTGGGGTCTGTGGCTGTGCAGCTCCATGGTGAGTGGGTCTCCCCTGAATTTCAATGACTCCTGCTTCCAGGAACCCATCATGAGCTGTGCTACCATGTGACATGGGGACAGCTCCCTCCCGGAGTCTGCTACAGCCAGAGCCCCTCGTACCATGCCCAGCCCACCATGCCTTTGCTGTCAGACCAATCCTGACATCCGGGCATCTCCATGAATAGCCAGAGGCTTCCCAGGGACCTGGGCAGCACTCGGTGGCCTGGACACAATGCGCCGGTCAGGACACCAGGTTCTTCTATGCAGGCGCTGGCCATCTTGGGTGATGCGTGAGGCGCCCCTGAGAGCTCAGGGGCCCCGCACCCCTCCCAGCACCGCAGGACAGCTGGCTGGGAAGGCGGGCAGGGCTGGAGAGGTGGAGCTGACCTTCGAGGAGGTGTGAACCAGCGGGAGAGGATGGCCTGCCTGCTGGGCGTGGGGAACAAGTGGAGTAGGAGGCCCAGCAAGTGCCGCGGGAGGTGGGTGGTTCCGGAGGCACCAACAGGTCACGGGCTCCTGGGTCATAGACCAAGTGTCTCAATGCCACTGTTATGAGCGAGAGCCTGGACTCCCTGACAACTCACTTTTGTGTGGACCACGTGTCCTCCTATGAGACTCTGAGCAGAGACAGGGCCAAACAGCACGTGCCTCCCTCCCTCCCTACCTGTGGATGTCTGAGGGCCACATCCTCGAGGGCCATGAGGAAACCCTGGGCGTGGGAGGCCTTGGGCTATGTCGCTGGGTGCTGCCTCTGGCTCCCACAGCCTTTCCTCTTCCAATGCCCTTCCTACTCCGAAGGTCATGCTGCCAAATGCAGCCTTCAGAAGGGACTGAAACAGACAATGACCTGGGGGGGGCCCAGCTGCACCCGCATCTCATGTGTTGGACCCTCAGGCCGTCACAAGGCAGGGTCTCGGCAGGTACCCCCTGGGTTTCCAGACATCTCCCCGCAGCATCTCCAGAAGTCCTGATCAGCACAGGAGCACCTCAAGGAGTGAGGGCTGGGGCCACGGTGGGAACCAGAAAGTGCACCCACCCCGGCTGCAAAGTAGATGCCACCCCAGCATGGGGACCTCCTCACCCACCCCCTGCAGTGTGAGCCAGGCTGAGAGGACTTGTGGTCCGCGTTAAATCCCAGCATGCAAGGGGCAACGCGCTTGAGGACGTTCTTGCAGAGGCTGACCTCTCTGGATAGGACCAGCGTTGCAGATGTGCATCCCTGGAGCTCACGAGGCCCCTGAGCTGAGAAGGACCCGCACTCTGCTTAATGCTCCACTGTCATCTCAAAATTCCTCGTAACTTTCCAACAAGAGGCCCCGTATTTCCACTTTGCACTGAGTCTCAAAAATTCCGTAGCCAGGGCTGCTTTGGGATCACATTGTGGATCAACTGATCCACACCCATTTCTGTCTTGTTTTTATTGTTTTGTTTTGCTTTTCTCATCAACTAAACCGTAAACCCGAGGGAGCCAGGGAGCTGTGTGTTGCTTCCTGGCCTCGGTGTTTTGCCTCCAACAGAGCTGGGCCTGCAGAGGTGGCCAGCAAACACACACTCCAGTCACTCCCACGTGGCTCTGTTCGTTAATTCACTCAACAAATATTTCTAGAAAGGGCAGGAATCCGGACAGAGCTTTATGATCACCAGACTGTTAAAATCTTTTCACTTAGACAGTTGACGCAGGCCCAGCAACACCGTGGACCTGAGGCGGCCACCAGGTCCTGGCAATTTGCAGCCTCCACCCTGCGGGTGACATGTGACCACGGCAGGAACTGACCAGCCCTGAGGATGAAAAGGGAGGACCTCCCCCCTCTCAAACACGGGCTGTTTCCCTGCGGCTGCCCTCAGGGAGCCCCGTGTGGGGCCAGGAATATTAACCCCTGCCTTTCCCCATCTCCCCTGACAGGCGTGAGCGATGCCGAGGCGCGCCAGCCAGGGAAGTCGCCCCCCTTCAGTGTGAACTGGGTGACGGGCAGCACAGACCTGGAGATGATCAACGCCACCACCGGGCGGAGGAGCTGTGGGGGCCCATCCCGGCTCTGCAAGCACGTGTTCTCTGTGCGATGGGCGAGGCTGTACAGCAGGGTAGGTCGCACCGTCCTTGGAGGGAAACTGGGCCCAGCCAGACCCTGGCTCAAGCCCTGAGCAAGCTCTTGGGAGAGGCCACCACTTGGTCTGCAGGGAGAGAGACGCAGGACACAATCCCAGTGCCTGTGACGTGTCCTTTTCCCCGCTGCCCAGGCCAGCAGCGTTTCCCCTGTAAAGCTGAGACCCTGCTACCCCAGGCACCATCCGGAGACCAGCCTGGAACCACCCAGGCCAGCAGCGTTTCTCCCGTAGACCTGAGACCCTGCTGCCCCAGGCACCACCCCCAGACCAGCCCGGAGCTGTGGAAGCTCCGCCTGCTTCACTTGGGGTATCACAGGAGCAGCTCCTGGGGACTCTTGAAGTCAATACTATTCCCAGTTTAGATACCAGGAAACCAACACTCAGAAAAATTAGGTAATTTCCCCAAAATTTCACAGGTAATGAATTTGAGGATTAGAATTTCTCCCCAACCCCAAAGCCCATGCATTTCCACAACATCAAGGATCAGGAGCAAACTTTCTCCTTCACAAATAAGGATAACAGCGACATTTCTGGATTTCAAATCAAAATACATATTTGTGTGTGTTTCCAAAGCATAAAGACTGTAGCCAAAAAGAACAAATAACAGAAAAAACAGCCAACAAATAAAAATGTCTTGCTCATTTTCCTATACTTTTAATCCAAGCAATGACTCCAAGCAGGACTAATCGTGTTGTTGACGTGTCAACTGGTAGAGCAGGATAGACATACTGACACCTAAAATAAACATTTTGCCAACTTAAGGGACGCTAAAAATTGCACATATTAGCTCTGAGCTCGGCCGAGGCTTCCATCTTCCTCAGCTTTCAGCCTCTGTCCCACCCACTCAAGCGCACTTCTCGAGTCCCCGTCTCCTGGACACTTGGAAGGTCAAGGAGGCATCAGTGCTGTCTTGATGAGCAACACGGCCCTCTCCTCTTGCACGTGCAGGAGGTGACACCCCCCCGCCCCCGGCAAGTGCCTCCCAGGAAGCCCCGAGGTGGGGTTCCGAGCTCCCCCCACCCCATCCTCCTCTCTCCTGGCCTCCCACCCGCGGTGGGGGGTCCAAACTGCCTTTGTTCCCTGTGATGTGTTCCTGCGGAGCTTTGCCTGGTACCCCTCAGACACCTAAATAGGAAGTGCCCCGGCCGCACGGCCCTCCTGCTCGCTGCCTGCTGTGACGCAGCCCCACGTCCCCACCCGCCCCCCCCACTTGCGGCCCCTGTGCCGTGTCTGTATTTTTAATAGCGATCAAGCTTACCTGCTCACTGGTCACTTACGCCTTGGATGAAGTGGGTTTCCCTGATGACTGGGTTTCTGTGGGATGGCCGGGGGCCTGGTAACGGTTGCCCTCTCTCATGTTGGGAGAAAGAAAAGCAAAAGGCGGAGGCCATGAGCTGATGTCTGGCAGAAGCTCCTTCCCTGCTGGTGTCTGACTGGCTTTTCTCCCTGCCTGCAGCTGAGCACACGGACACCCAGCCCCGGAGACACGCCGTCCATGTACTGTGAGGCCAAGCTAGGGGCGCACACCTACCAGGCCGTGAAACAGCAGCTGTTCCGGGCCTTTCAGAAGGCCGGCCTGGGCACCTGGGTGCAGAAGCCTCCGGAGCAGCAGCAGTTTCTACTGACTCTCTAGGCTGTGGGCTCCCGGCCGTGGAGCTGAGCCAGACGCTGGAGGGATGGGCCGTGTCTGCGGGGCAACGTGGCAGGTCGGCCGGTTCCCTGCATTCTTTTTTTTTTTGGTGTTCCAGAAACACACGAGTGTGCAATGTGTGGAGGAGCAATGAGACTGGAATTCAGAGCACGCCTCTTCCCAGATAGCTGGCCCCAGACCCAGGGACACACGCGCTGTGGAGTTGGCGCCGGCTCTCCTGTGGCATCCGAGGGAGGGGCTCCATTCAGGTGAAGGGGGCTCAGCTGCAGCCTTGGAAGGAGGCACCAGCGTGTGTCAGGCGGGAGTGAGCCTCGGCCTGTCCCTGCACCCCAGCCCTGTGTGCGCCTCTCAGCCATCTTCAGGTCTCACTAGCACAGGTTTATGGGGCACATGAAGATAAAGCCACAAACAGAGAGAAAAGCCATGCCCACCCCGCCTCAGAGAAACCAAGAAGAATCCTCAATTATTTTCATTATTCATTTCAGTTTTTTTACTCCACCTCCTTTCAAAAAAGACTTAAGATGCACATCATTAAAGAACACCTAGCACAGAACCTGAGAAATGAAAGCCATTCCCGCAAAGAGTAGGAACAGCTCCCAAAGCGCTCACAAGCCAGCGTGAAGACCTGCGATGTGCGGAGCCCTCTAACGCCTCCCACTGCGCCCCGCAGAGCCGCCCATGCCTGTTCAGCCCATCAGCCTGTGGTTTATTTTGGCAGATACGGAGCACCACTGAGGCTCAGCTGTGTGAGGGTTAGCTATCACCCTGTAACCTCCCTACCAGGTAATAAGGAGACTTGCTAACTAAATTTTTATTAAAAAGCAAGCACAAAATAAAATTCAAAACAACCTTTACCTTCAGCTTGAGAGGCTACAGCTCTGCTCTTTCAGATTCTCCAATCAGCACCTTGCAGGACAAGACCCCCAAAAAGTTCAGCTGTCAAAAAATGTAAGAGGCAGGGTTCTGTCACCCTGGAGCAGGCATCCAACCCCAGAGAACCTTCAGCTCACAGTGGAGATGGGACACTGGGGCTTTGGCCCACAGCGTCATCACTGAGTTAAGACGGTGTATTCATACAGGAGTCTGGCTCTTTTCCAAGTATCTTTAGGCATCTGTGTGCCTCAGTTGCTGTAATCTCACCACCGAGAACTCATTTCTAACATTCATCCTGCTATGTAGCCAGTCTGTCATTTCTCCAATTTAAAGAAAAAAAAATCCATCTCTGAAGTTCATTGTGGTGAAGCTAGCTGGCAAAGCATGGCAGTGTCCGCCTCTGGGGTGTGGCCTTCCCGGAAAGAATCCCGGCTGACCACCCCCAGAAAGTGCAGGAATAACAACGTGCTGTACATACCCAAGCACTAACAGTTACCGTTATCATAGTGAGAAGGCAGAAATGGAACAAACTGAGTTGTAGCTATTTGTTACAAGATAATAAGAATTAGAGATATTAGTATGGAAATAGAAACTTTTCCTGAGATTTAAAATATGGCCAAATTTGTCTTACAAGTTCTTTTAGAAAAGAAAATGGGCACTGGAGTAGACAACTGCTCCAAGAGAAAGTTTCAAAGGATATGAGAACATTTTTGCAAACAAAGAACTCATATTACTCTTTTACAAAAATCGCAAAAATAAATGAAATCTTAATTCAGTTCAAAAGCTAAGCTCAAGTGGACAGTTTCGATTAATTTCTGGTAGCTTGACATCACTAGGACGAAGCTTGGAGAACTGAGAGCGTGGAGAGCCGATGGTGGCTCAGGTGTTCGCAACTGCAGATGCAGGGCCCCCCGACGTGTGGGGCACAGCCAGCTCCCGGCTTCATCTGAGATGACGGCTGGAGAAGCTCACGATGCTTTCTCCCAGGGGCTCCAGATCACACTGGGTCTGCAGTGAGTGACCTGCATTGTAAGCAGCCAAGACGCAGGGTCTGATTCACCAGACTCGGAAAACACTCGCCCACCCAGTGGCCGGCAGCGGTGGGGTTGGGATTCATATTGCCTCAGGCACTGACCTTCCAGAAACAACTCAGACTTGACTGAAATGCCTACATCCACTTCTGAAGAAAGCCACACATTAATTCCACACTGCCCGTTAGAACAAGTGTGTGGATTTGTTTATGAAATCCACAGGAGACTCCGTGGAGGGAGAGATTAAAGCTCTTCCGGGAAGGTTGACAGAGAAGAGTGAGCCAGAAGTGAGTTTGAGGTGCTGAGCTTTTCCCCGGAGGGGTCTGTCAGAGGGCATGTGGGCTGCAGAAGGGACCCCATGTAAGGAGAGGGGGGTCCCAGGCCCTGGGCAGTGAAAGGAGAAGGCAGCTGAGGCAGGCAGGGGTGGCTCACACGCAGCCGGTGGGAAACAGAGGCGTCAGGCAGGGAGGGTGGAAGACAAGGCACTTCCCTTCCACGAAGCACATGGAGGGCCAAATTAGGACTGCACGCCGCGCCAGATCATGCCAGGTCACGCCACACGCAGGCTGCTCCCAACTGGCAGGGCCTGATCCAGCCAGGAGGGCCGGGTCCCAGGAGTCCCACAGCCCAGGTGTTGCTGGAAGAGCCGGTCACCTCTGCAGCGACAGAGGGCTGCCTGAAGATTCCGCCCTCGGGCCCGGCAGAACACCCAGCACCACTGTCACTCGAGGGCCAGGTCTGCCCTGCACTTCCACCGCTGACTTAGTCTTGGGAGTGGCCATGTGCCCCTCTCCAAGTGAGGGGCAAGACATGAGTAGGGGACGGGCCACTTTCTGCCACCCTGAAAACACGCTGGGCACAGCATAAGGGAGGATGAAGAAGTCAGGGCCCGCCCCTCAGAGCCCACCTTGAAATCTCTGCCCCAGCTCCCCTGCCTCTTGCTACAGATTTTCTGCGGTCTGCGTTCACGCCTGCTTAGGCCCCTACGAAAGTCTTCATAAAACCGACACCACCTTTATCTGCCTCCAAAATACACACTGCTTTCCCATCGGGAAGATCAGCAATGTGGTTTCCTGCCTGGTTTGTAGTCAGCAAGTCAGTGTCCGGTGGTTTCCAGACTTTTTGCAGGACGGAGCGAAGGGAACGGCCACATGGCCAGGCAGCCTCTGCCGGCCACCTCCAGCCCGGGTCGTGGAGCCGTGGGTGATGTCAGGGGACAGAGTCAGGGTTTCTGTGGGCTTCATCTTTGCCGAGGAAAGGATTTGCGGGTCGACACCTATGGTTTCCCTTCCATTCCTGCGATTCTCTTCACAACTGTACACATCTGTCACGTTGTGCTGACCTTGTCATGAGTCCTGTCCCTCAGAAATGTCAAGCTGAGTTCCTTTTCAAACAAACAGCTCCATTTTTCCACCTAATTTTGTTTTCACAGGAAGCTTTTCTTATCCATAAAGTTACATGCTTTTATTTGGTACAGTGCTGACCACGTCTGGAGAGCCATAAACCGTAAATACACAGGATAGCAATGCCCGGAATAGTTAGAGTATTTTGATGAAATCCTATTTTTAGATGATAAATTTTAAGAGGTGTCTATAGTATCTTTAAAACAAAGACATTTGAGGCGTACATAAAGTAGACATTTTTATCTTAGGGAAACGTCTATGCCCATTTTTTAAGAAGCCATTCCAATAAAATAATCTGACAAATTGGCCCAAAATACAGTAAGTCTCACTTTCTGATGGAGACCAAAAGGGAGTGAGAGCCTTCCTTTTTATGTACTGCCGTTGGATCGCCGGGCCGCCCCTTGTCATGCCCATCCCGCAGCCCTCAGGGAGCCTGCAGAGTCCCTAATCCCCATCAGGGAGACACCATCCCACACACCCCAAAGCCTGTCCTCACCTGGGGTTTCTGCAGAGCTCACAGTTGGAGGCGGAAATTTAGAAGCTCTGTGTTGCAGGAGAGGCCGTAGCACTCCCAGGCAGCTCTTGGCAGGGACAGACTGCCCCCCGCCCTGCCTCGCTGGTATTTCAGGGTCTCAGGCAGACTCACCACCGTGTGGAGCTAGGCGGGTGGCCGGAGGACGCAGTGTGGGCCTTGCCACCGCCTGGGTCCCTCACTGCCACCTGGGTCCCTCGCCACCGCAGGTGCAGGGCGTTTCTGGAAACACTGGCTGCTGGTGGCACCTGTCAAACTTCTCCCACAAATTCTGAATCTGGTAAAGTGAAGGAAGGATGGGGGAGAGGTGAGGAGGCAGGAACAGAGGTGACAGGGGCAGGGACCAGAGACGGGGTGAGGACACAGCAAGCGTCCTTCTCATGCCGCCCGCGGAAAGAGGTGGCCAGCACCCCCTCTTCACTCTGCCCTCAGCACCCCCTTTTACTTCCCTTCTCGCCTCCTTCTTTCCTCCCCGCCTCTTCCCTTTCTTGCTGTCTTGTGTCCCGAAACTCTGCTGTGGGCCCCCAGGAGGAGGTGGTCTCGGGCACCATACCCCCCAGGGATCCAGCAGCAGGTTCATGCTTGGGGCTGGGGGAGCCCTGCTGGGTTCCTGGTGCCTTGTGCACGGGCGTCGCTGCAGTCATTTTGGGACTCTCCTGGGTGTGCCCACACAGCCTGACCTTCCACCAGAAGGAATACTGGTGGCCACATCTCTCGAGAGCTATTTAATTTCTTGAGACCGGGTTATTTTTGTATTTTTGGTAGAGACGGTCTCACCATGTTGCCCAGGCTGGTCTCAAACTCCTGGCCTCAAGTGATCCACCCGCCTCAGCTTCCCAGAGAGCTGGGATTATGGGCGTGAGCCACCACATTGGCCTCTAGAGATTCACACCAAACAATATCACCCCTGCAAGGAAACATAGACAGATAAACCCTGGTGAGAGAAACACCTTATTTCCCAGCTCATCATCCTAAAGACGAGATGGGAGGGATGAGTATTCCCTAAACATGAAGATGAGATCACCTGGGTCCCAGTGCCTCTTTTCACACAGGTCCTAGATTTCTATCACTCTGCAGTTTATGCATCTTTAAAAAAATCTCTCCCAGCGTGCCCTGTTAGTTTTCAGCATTTTGTAAGCAAAATGAACTTAATACATAGTAATTATAATTGAAGGTATGTACATAAAAAGCATGATTGGCAATACTGTATCAATGGATGTACATTTGTAATATTTGTAAAAAAAATCTAAAACCTTAAAATATGAATTTACATATGTTAATTTGCCTCTAAGTTCTGTAAATTGCACTTCAGTGATATCTGATAAGTGAATGTTTCTGTTAAGTGAATAAAAATATTAGGTAAAATTGTTCTTTCCTGGGTTGTTGGGTCTTTGTCATCAAGCGAAGTTCTGGGGGTCTCAAGACTATATAATGTGTCCACCCACTCCAAAGAAGGGACATACTCAGCTCTAGAACCTTTTCCTTTTTATGATAGTTATAGAGATTAGTGGCTTCTGCCTGAGCAGCAGTTACAAGCCCCGACATTACCTTACAGATTTAATCCAAATGAATTCATTACAATAGCACAGGGCTGTAAGTGAAAAGACCTCCCATCGAGCCTCGAGCCCGCCTCGCATTCATGCATAAAATGAATTAATCACCCCGTGCATGACTTTGCACCTCGGTTTTCTCACCGGTGTGTGAACGCAGCCTTCACCTCCTACTGATGGAGGCTTCAGGACCTTAAGGGTCATGAAATGTGAGATGCTGAGTCCTTTCCCAGATTTGCCGTCACACATGGGCATGGGTGTGAGTGCTAGGGGAATACTAAGCCAGGTGGGAACTGGGGTGTAAGGCACTCCTAAACATCGCAGGCTCGCACCGCGTCTCCATGTAAGTCTGCTGGACTGAGCGCCCAAGTAGAGTGTTTTCCCTGTGACACATTTTGCTGCTTTCCAGGGACCTAACGATGGGCACAGCAGGCCTGTGCTGACTGAAGGGACTTTGATTTCTCACTGTCACCCAGGAAATAAGCTGGCATTACAGCCGTGTTGAGCACGGGGCCCCAGCGCCACAGCCAGAGGAGCCTGGGTAAGACGTCATGTCTGGAGATATTGCTCTGTCCCACCACACCTCCCTCCAGACAAGCTGCGGCTGCCTGCATTTTTAACCGCAGTGATTTTCCACTCAAGGGGCAGTGCGAGAGGTCTCAGGTGGGGGCAGAGGTGGAGGTAGGGGGCTCTGAAAACACCCCAGGAGATTCTGATGCCTCCTATTCATCCGTGGGTGGGGACATTCCTCCAGGTGGGGTGTCAGTGCCCTAAAGAGCATCTCATTTCTTGAGCCTTACGATAAATTACCCCATAGAGAGTAAAATGAGGAGTCAGGTTGTGGGCAGGGAATGGAGGAACCTGCAGGCGTAAAGTGGGTTCAAGACGAACCTCAAAGGTGTCCGAGCTGCAAGGTGGGGCAACGGTCCCCAGCCAGGATCACTGATCGTGGAGAATCGGAATGTCAGGAGGGACGGATTAATGGCCCAAAGTCAGAAAGAGGCTTATCTCTTCATGGGCCCCAGAAGTACCTCCTGGGGTTGGTCCTCATTGTCACTCACAGAGGAGCCCCTCCCGCCTGAAAAGGCACTCCTTCATGTTTGGAGGGGTCTGCTTCTTGGTAACCCCTCCAAACATGGTGGCTCCACACATTTGCTCAATCTGTCCTCACCTGCCCTCACCCCAGATGGCCTCATCTCCTATGTCATTTTTCTTTAAGCATGAAACCTGAAGTTTATGACAGATCGTCTCAGTAAGAGGT